TTCGGTCCGCGACTTTGCGGAAAAAGTACGAGCGAGATTCTTTTTCCATTACGTTTCGCCAACAAGTCTCGATGGGATTTAACAGAAATAACCAAGCGGAGCGTCGACTTTGGCATCGGGAGCTCTTTCTGTTTCTCTCCTGGAAAATTTTTCAATTAACTACTCAAATATATACTGAGGAAAAATAAAATTTCAACGAGAGTAACACTATTATTCGCGTGAAAATGAGACGAGTAACGAGGTTGAGGCGGTGAAAAAAAAAAAAAAAGTAATCCTCGAAATGTCAACCGAACGAATCAGCTGATCCTTCGCGAGCGCGCGTATATGTATATTCTCTGGATTAGCGAAACGACCGGTCGTTTCGATTTCTCTGGAGAGAGTTACGTGCCCGAGGGACGCTTCGACAGGAATATAGGTAAACGTCCGAAAAGCGAACCGCGGAAATTTCCGACGGGCTGTAACTGACGATGGTAATGTAACTACCGAAATGATCGCTCGAGCGATTTGTAGCAAACGGCTTCGCAAAGCTTCGTTGCTCCGGGATTGTTGTTTGCCGTTTGCATTTGCGGCGGTCCGTCTTGCCTGTCGGAAGTTCCGCCGGCCGACATCGCAGTTCGATGCATAATGCGCGATAGCAGAAATCCTCCGTCCGCAAGCGCGCAACATTTGCATACGTAAACGCGCCGCGGGCCGCTCGCGCGGCGATCGCCGAAACGCGATTCACGGATCGTTTGACAGCTCGCTCGAGAGACGACGATCGACGACGTTACTTATCCCGCGCGACGACGCGCGGAGATCGATCATGCGCGAATTTTTCTCCGCTTAAAGGCTATCTTTCGCCGTGTCATTCTACGGTGCATCTATTCGATGGCGAATCGGCGATATTACATTACCCCCGCAAATGTGACGGATTTTAGCAAGCGGAAAGTGCAACCGCGCTTTCAGTTCACAAAAGGGAGATTCATATTCTTCGTTCGCACATAAGAACCGGGAAACCGGAGTTCTCGCGCGCGCGCGCGACGGCGAAAATAAAATCTGCGGGCCCCCAACTCCTCCTGTCCTCTTCCTTGACGTATCCTCGGGGGAGCATCTACCAACCCTTCCCGTCGACCATAATTTCCTCCATCCTGAACTCGCGACCCGTCCGCCCTTCCTCTCCTTCTTCCTGTTCCCGCATGACTTTGCTAACCCGCGCCAAGTTACCTCGCAAACCAACCGGCGAACGAAACTTCAGCCGCCGTGGATCCCTCGAACGGAAATTTCGGTACGCGAATTTGGATCCGGCGTGAGTCACATTGCTCGTCGAATTTTCACGAGAGCAGAGCTTCTAGATACCGCGCGATATCGGGGAGGGTGAGACTAAAAAGGGGGTAACGCGAAAGGGGTTGACAGCAACGAAACTGCATACAACGCAACCGGTGTCGCGGAGCTTGTGTCGTGTCTTGTCGCGCGTTCCGCGTTACAGTTGCTGCTGCAATCGAGCTGGCAGGTCACTGCGGCCGAGTGTCAAGGGAACAACGTCGTGCAATCAGGCACGCCGGTGCATGCGATGCGACCGAGGTGCAAGAACCTTTTGCCACCCTATGCTATCGTGGGACTTGACGCGAGGCGAATGTGAGCGAACGAGGGCAGGACGCCTTGTGTTCGTGGCATAAAACTTTGTTTTTAATCAAAGTAAGTATCTTTTGTCCGAGGTAAGATGCGTGCGTAAAATTGCACTGCCAGAGTGTGTCGCAGCTCAATTGTGAATATATGGTAGCGGAATAATATATCTCTGTCATAATATTTATTATTAATCGAGTTTGTTAATAATAAGATAATAATTATTGATTAATAAAAAAGGCATTAATATTTTTATACATGAAACGTAAGGTTGAAGAATCTCTAAACACTTGATAGAAAAGAGCGCATTTTTGTTTAACGTGTATTTAAAATATATATCTTGCGCGTCCGCGCGAGCTTCAGTCTTTTGCCAAGAGAGGAAAGAGACTCCTACTCTACGTTAAATTCCTACCTGCAATAAATTGCGGTACAGGTGAAGTAAACGTCTCGCGCTGCAGCGGACTTACGCTCGTTTCGGATCCTAAAACACTGCATTCAGGCGCAACGTAAATTCCACGAAAAGCGCGAGCGAAATCCCCGATGAATGTACATAGATTATTAAAGTAAAGCTAGATTTAAAGCGCATTTAGCGCCCGCTTTCCGAAGAGCGCGGCCATCTAATTTTCTACGTACATATACCCGCCTGTTTTACGAATTCTTTCGAATGTAATTGCTGCTCATGCGATAAATCGAGTACGGTTTCCCCGGAGTGACACTCGGAGAAACTTGCGTCGCGGAAAAAGAATTCTCGTTAAATCTTTATCCGTGGGTTAAGTTTCTTTTGCGGGCAATGAAATGGCGGTTTACAAGTTTTGCAGGCCACTCGTTGATACGATGCATGATTTACACGATTGCGTTACCGTCGCATCGCGCTTTTCCCCAGGTAACGGAAGTACGTAACGCGCTACAAATTGGCTACTAGCTTTACTCGAGCACTACCGGGACTCATGTCGTAAGTCACGGCACTCGTTCCCTCTTTCGTTCTCACCTTGGGACGAATCGCATCCCGAATTCAATTTCACGCAACACTCATTACATACCGCACATTTCTACGTATAAAATCGTATAACAATCGTATAACAATCGATACCCAAGATATCGAAGAAATTTATCGATTTTAATTCCATATCGTGAATTAATTCGATAATGCTATTCTCTTAACGAACGAATCGTCGAAAGAATTGGATCATTGTAATATAATTGAATAAATTTAATGCTTCTCTACAGAGAGATCTCGCTCACACTTTGTTGGAAAATGTTCTCGTCTAATAGATCCGCACACGGATACTTAGAGTGGAAACAATTCTTGGAAAAAATTTGAATCGGCGGCTAATGCATTAGGAATTTAATCACCCTTGATACGAGGTTAATGAAGCGAACGGTCGTTAAAAGAAACTCCCCCGCTATGAGCGTTTTACTTTCCGCCTGCCTTTGCACGGCGTGACCCGGACACTCTTAAAATCGTATTACTATGTCTCAGGGATTCCGGGCACTGGATTTTTGGCGAACCGAGATATCTCGCTCGGTATTCCCTCGTGAACGAGCGCAATTTCTCCGAGGGAAAAAATATCGCGATGTCCGTAATCATGTTTACGGAAATAAAAATCGACGATGGGTCATTGACCGAGCGATAAAAATAAAAATAGATGTTCACGATCATTTTACTTAGAGATTAATGGAACGTGTCTCAATATCTCGAGAACCGCATTCACTGTTCTTAACCAACAGAACTGTCGACATGTCGGAATCAACATCGTCCACTTGCAGTATTACGTGCTACGTTAGTAATCCTAGTTTATGCTTTCTCTCTCTTCCTCTATATTCTTAATGTATATGTCTATATATATATATATATCGCGTGCACGACCATATCGGAGTATAATTTAACATACGGAACATATGTCTGCATTCCATTGGTGGCAGACAACCGCGAATAGACTTCGCCGGACAACCAAAGGTCCGAATTAGGTAGAAGGGCAGATCACTCTGTGCGTAGATAATTTATCTGTTGACATAATACTGTCTGCCAGTTCCGAGCACTGGCCAGAAACTGGCGACCTGTCTAATTACAATCTATTTATGAAAGCGACGCGTTATATCGTACGCCTGATTGCACTTAACGTCGCAAATTAGGAGCGCGAAAAATTTACAAATTGTATTAAAATTGCTGTGCTGTGGTAAATGTAATTAAAGCGCAGGACATTTAAAAACTGATGTTTCCATACAGCTTTTAAAGAGCATAGTCTCGATAGATGCGCATGTAAATTTTAAAATACTTGAATTTATAATATTTTTAATCCATATTATATTCAATAAACATAAATCAATATTATGTGGAGCAAAAGTGTCAAAATTAACACGGATCTTCTGTAAATCATTTCATATGTTTTAGCAATTAAATGCTACATTTTATTAGAATTGATGTGATTTGATTTAATTATTGTTAATTAGTTTACTCACAAATTTACTTTTCTCATCTCATGCATTTGTTGTGTATTTATACATTAAATTGATTTATATTAAGTTCTTAAAGTTTGCGTGAAAGCTTTTTCGGATTTTTAAAAAAATATAACTAGAGAGAAAGAAGTTTAGTATTTTTTTACATAATATATTATGTATGTGATTCTATAATACTTGTGTGTGTGTATGTCGATTTTTCTATTTCTATTTTATTTGTGTTTTTTTATCTTTATCATTTCTTTCAAAATATACGCAAGAAAATTAGATTCGGATTTTGTAAACCGATACATATATCATGTGATTTCAACATCGATATAATTTGACATTTTGTTTTGAAATATTCATTTACAGAATATGAATAATTCAACTGATTTTGTATATATTTGTCATATACAAATCTCTCACATATGAAAATTCTGCATTAAAACTAATAAGTCTAATACAAAAAATATGTATATATATTTTTTTAATATCTATTTTATATAAATAAATAAAAAAACAATACAATTTTATTTCAAACTTAATTAATTTATATAATTTATTTTTATTTTTTTTTTTACATTTATATTATATAGTTATTTCTAATTTTTACTGAAAATATCAGTTTTGGACATTAATTTTGCAAATTTTTGTTTGCTTTATTAAAAGTTTATTTGATTCAAAATAATATTGTTATATAAAATTGTAACATAGCATAATATATATAACATTGTGTTATTGTAATAGAAAGCGATCTCTAACAAATATTCATTAAATATAAAAAATTATTTTGAACTTTTAGTTAAAGATTAAAATAACCCAAAAACAAGATGATTTTCGTCTTTCCTCCTTTAAATTCCGTCGTAGGTATAACGTAATCGATTTTCCTTTAATCAAAAATGAGATGCAAATGAAATAGAAGATTTTAAATGTTTGCTCCTCAAATTTATATTACTTACTCGGGCCAAATACGATGAATGTTAAACTGATGAAACGTTAAAGCGATGATCTCATCTGGATGACCGATGAACGTGTAAAGAAGGCAATCGATGTTCGGCGGGTATCGTCTGGGAAAATTGGGGGATGTAAAAGTGCCACCTTGAGGCCTGTCCGAGCTGCTATATACAACGCAAGAACAACCTGTAAAAGAAAAGTAATATACAAGACATCTGGCAAAATTCGAAAGTTGGGAGAAATGATGTAACGCGCACACTTGCGCACGCAGACGGACGAAGTAACGCAAAGTTTTAGTGATATTTGACAGTGTGTCCGACAAGTATCCAATCGACGCCGCGAGTTTTCCCGAACGTCGATGTGTCTCGCGGCGAAACGATTTTAATGTAGAGATATCGGGTCTTGTCGATAATGAAATTCACCATCTGACACTAGTTCCCCGAGGCGAGGGAGTGTGCGCGCGCGAATGAAAAGTTTTCTTATTTCCAAAATGAAGCCGTCGGTTTGCGTATCGATCTGGTTTTCGCACTACCGGAGAGTGCCAAACTCGAGGAATTAAATTATACTTTGACGTTTTTTCGGGACAAAAAATTTCACGGACGAGAAATACATAATAATTCAAGCGGATAGTAAAAAATACGCGACTTATAATCGGAAAACGTTGAATAGCGGGAACATTGCAAGATGGATTTTCCATTCCTCTCATCTATTTGCATTGACGCGAATACAAAAATGATGCACCATAAAGTCTTTTTTTCTCTACCCATCCGGTGGATCAGACGGCGAATGATTAAGCAAATGCGATAATTTATAGAGAAGTTATCGACCAAAGACAGACATACATTGGCTCCTATTATCCGAGAAGCTTCCGACCGGCTTTCGCGCGACTGGCGGGAATAGCGAAAATTTAATTTCCTGTTTTTCAATTAACTTTTACGTTAGTCGGGCCAGCGGGATTTCTGCTCTTGGGTGGGCGGGCGAGGACATACGGGGGAGAATGCAAAGACCTGTCGTATCTATGGTTAAATAACGGCATGACACTTGAGTTATACCGCCGGTACAAAAGAGCGCACGAACATTCTCGACCAGTTTTATGCTTTGGGGACCCCATTGTATCCCGTAACTCGATGTAATGCGAGAGAGAGAGGGAGAGCGCCTCTCTCTCTCTCTCTTTCTCCATTTTTTTTCTTTTTTCTTTATCCGCAGAGGTACATGTACCGGAGAGTGTAATATACCGGTTTATTGTGCGGCCATTGTTGTAGAAAATAAAGCGATTCGGTGTGTAGAGCAACTGACTATACGCGAGCAAGAAGTTGAAATTCGACCGCGGTGCAAACGCTATGAAGCTCTCGTGGCGATCCTAAAGCGCAACATTCCGTCTTTCCTTTCAAAGTTGAAAAGAAATCTTTCAGAAATTACGTCGATATTATAAATTTTAAATTATAATGGAGCATTTTACGTCAAAAACACAAAAGTAGAAAGGAGATACTTTTGCGATCTGTATAGCGTCATAATCGATCGTAAGATTCGGTCGTACATCTTTTTATATTTCTTATACCTCCCTCTCTCGTTCCCCCGAACATAATATTTATACGCCATCAAGGTCGTATCAACGGCAAGAAAAATGTGAATCATTACGGCATCCGTTAATGCGAATACAATCATTTATCCAAGATGATATCACCATCCTCGCGATCCGTCTCTGTCGGCGGGCGAGTGCTTTGCAATGATTATTCCGGCTGAAGCGATCCATTAGCGCGGAGCATTCGTTCGGTACGGCAGAACTAATGCAAACAAAGCAATTTATAAGGATAGTAACGCAATTAATCAGCCCTTCGAAAAAGCGAGACACGAGAGGAGAAGGAATAAGTCGCGCACCAAAATGGAAAGGACATATCGCGTTTCGCGCGCAGCGAATTAATAGCCTCGCGAGCCGCAAGTCGGAAAGATCTTTTAGTAAATTAGCAAAAACGGAGCATGTTCTTTTTGCCTTCTCCCTCTCTCTCTCTCTCTCTCTTCGTTCCCTTGCCTGCTCTTTCTCTATTTAACCCTGGGCAAAGCGCTTTCTTTCGTTTTTACTTTTTTTCTTTCGATAACCCGATTTTTCTTTCTTCCTCCTCCTCTTGTTCTCTCGCCACACATTTCTCGTCCAACCCGTTTTCAACTCTCTGCATTGTCGTATAAAGATTTCTACAAGAGGAAGGACACCCAAGTGACCTATCGCGTGTAACATTGCGGTAGCGCTTGAACTTATTTGTCCCGTCTCGCATAAGACATGCTGTGACATCTGCAATTTTTTAACATCTCACGATTGATGGTATTTATTTCGTCCTCTTGTGCCCGATCATATACATACATTTTTTAATCTATGAATCAACAAAGTAAATTCGGTTATCTCTTTTCCAATGGTTAGCACACGCCATTTGAGAAATAATTATAATTTTATCAGAAAGAAAACAAACTATGTTGAAACTGTACTAAATTAATTCCATAGTAATAATGTATTATACTATAATTTAATAAAAGAGAACCGAAGCAGAGGAGGTCATCAAAAAAGCCCAAGTCATCCAAAAATGATCGATGGTAATGATTTCCGCAAAAATGCTGGCGCGACGAATTCGTGAGAGAAGGAACTCTCAAAGGGTCCGAGGGATCTAGCAAATATTTTAAGTGCCGGCGGAATTAATTCTTCTCTCGCGCGGGGTCACATATATGTGCATACGTATGTATATGCACGTGTATGTACAATGTTATAAACGACCACGGCCCCTTGGTTGTTAAAGTGGGACGCCAGGCCGCTTTAAAACACTCGGAGACATCATTGTTCAGTCACGTTCGCCGGCACTGACTCGAGCGTTCTCAAGCCGCGCTCTATTTATAACTGAAGCTAGCGAATTCCGTGATAGTTCCCGAGAGAAGAGGTGATAGGCTCTTTCCCGCGAACGTGGAAAAACGCGCATACGATTAAGGATGCGAGTGCATGGTCTGAAGTGTTCCGCACAGCATATGGCGATAGTTGGCACGTTGAACGTGCTTTACTTACGGAAAAATCGAGATCGCAATCATGATAATGTATAAAGTCTACAAATATATTAGTTCTCGAATATTAAACAATTATTTATACACAAGGATGAAAATGACTTTGCGAGAAAGGAAAAAAGCGACAGATTTTATAACTACAACACAAAAATTATCGTTTCTGTTGCTAAATATAATGTCAACGATACAATCGATACAACGGCCACTTTTCAAATATCATTATCCATTTTTCTTTGCTCTTCTTTTCTTTCTCAAATAAGATTAGATGTCAATTGTATTTAATGTAAGTCGGGAAATCATATCTCTAAGTCGAATATGCATTAAGCCGCTTTTAGATTGTCATTATGTATCGATACGTAACGCGATCTTCTTGCAAGACGAAACCGCGTTCCCTCAAGCATTATGACTGTATATACTGTGAGAACTCTGACAGGTGATCTGTGTGACACGGAGAAACGCGAAGTGACGCTTCTTCCCACGACTCTTCGACTGTCTGTACACTGTTATAGGGAGATAGTATAACACACAGACAAAGATATAAGATCAGAAGGGTGGACTAAGAAACGGCAACGATATTATTGCCGTCCCGGAAACAGCAGAAATCACTTAGCACTCAATTCCAGCCGCAAGTTGACTTTTCTAAAATTCGGACCGATCTGCCACAAGCGGCTGGCAGGATCGGAACTTGGAAGTTTCTGCAAAAGCGAGAGAAACTCTGACCCCGCGGCTCTTCCCCTTAGTCCTTCGTTACATATACATGTACATATCTCGTTATATACACGGAATGTCTAAGTATCGTGCACGTAATCTCTACTCCATAGACTGCGAATATTACTATAGATATAAATTGAACTTGAGAATATAGTCGTCTTTTTTTAGGATTGAAATGACAATTGTTATAGGCAATTAAAAATTTTGATTGATACATTAAAGCAGACTTGACTTAAGAGAATTTTAATTTGAAGGTTAAACAGTTGCAAGAAAGTATAGCGGCAAATCAAATTTTCTTTGCGGAATATTTGATTCTAAATTAATCAAATACTTAATATTTCAAATATAATTACGGCGAATATGAGGTATTCTGTATATGCAATTGTCAAAATTATTACGTATACATGTAGATATATACCGTGTATACTATTATTAATATATAATAATTAATCCAGATACTGTAATAGTTTGGGGAAAATTTAATTAACGATAATTACACATTGCACAAAAAAACAGCGATAATAAAATTTTTGTTTCGAATTATTTAGGAGATATAAAGATTATCTTCATTTGTTTAAATGTATTATAAAATTTTTGCATTGTTAAAGTAAAATTATAAAAATTTATTAATTTTCACAATAATTTATTTTGATTTACTGCAACAATAAAATGTGAAATACCTTGTAACCCTCTACTTTCATTAAAATATTCATTAAATGTTTTACGAGATAATGAATATAGAATCGATTGATGACTCTTTGTACACAAGTGCAGCAGTTTCATAATTGTTTAAAATAAAATTTTGTAAAATATAATTATGTATTTTCTATATCAATCAATTTATTTCATTATTTTTATAAAAATGTGTATAAAAATGTAGAAATAAAAAAAAAGCAAATACGCTTTATGATATATTGCATATCTTATATGTCAAAATAAATCATGAAATATCTCCTAAAATATTAATTGTATAATAAATTGTATATGCTTTAATATATTTACATGGAAAACGAGAACGATATGGAAAAGAAAGTCATATAAAAAATCATATAATTTTATTTTAAAAAATTAAGATGATTTTTCTAATTTCAAAGCAATTCCATCCATTAAACATTTATTATATTACTGTGCAATAGTTCTCTCTCTATACAATGTAACTTTTGTTTAATGAATTTTTCACTATTATAGTTTCAGAAATAATAAAGGCAATAATAGTTACTGATACTATCTTTCTGTGTATTTTACATTTATACACATATAATACATAATGTAGATATATATATATATATATACATATATATGTGTGTATATAGAATGCTTTATCTATCTCTTGACGGTTCGAAATCCTTCGCGATGCAGCAGACTTGCACGATGCAGCCAGATATCTGTTGAAAGTTGAAAGCACGGCTACCACCACACTTAGACCACGCGATTAC